GCGGGGCCCCCGCGGCGGCGGAAAGGCGGCGGTGGCGCCGCACCCGCGCTTCGAAGGCGTGTTCGTGGCGAAGGGCAGGGCGGACGCGCTGGCGACGAAAAACCTGGTGCCCGGAGAAAGCGTGTACGGCGAAAAGCGGCTGGAGGCCGCGGCAGACGCGCGCGAAAAGTCCGAGTTCCGCGTCTGGAACCCCTTCCGCTCGAAACTGGGCGCGGCGCTCGCCGGCGGCGTCGCCCACATGCCCATCCGGCCCGGCGCCAAGGTCCTCTACCTCGGCGCGGCGAACGGCACCACGGTCTCGCACGTGTCGGACATCGTGGGCCCGGAGGGCGCGGTGTTTGCGGTGGAGTTCTCGGCGCGGGCGGGCCGCGACCTCACGGCCTTGGCGAAAAAAAGAAGCAACGTCGTGCCGATCCTCGAGGACGCGCGGCAGCCGCTCAAGTACCGCATGCTCGTCGACGCCGTCGACGTGGTGTTCGCGGACGTGGCGCAGCCGGACCAGGCGCGCATTCTCGCGCTCAACGCGGCTCTTTTTCTCAGGGCTGGCGGCTGGTTTTTGCTCGCCGTCAAGGCCAGCTGCGTCGACTCCACGGCGCGCCCCGAGGCCGTCTTCGCTGCGGAGGTCGACCGCCTGCGCCGCGAGCGCTGCCGCCCCCGCGAGCAGCTCACGCTCGAGCCCTACCACCGCGACCACGCCGTCGTCATTGGCCAGTACCGCGTCGCCCCCAAAAAGTGACCTCCACGCGCCTCGGGGGCCTCTCGGGGCCCCTGGGGATCGACCCTCCACGCGCCTCCGGGGCCTCTGGCCGCCCCGGGGGCCTCTCGGGGCCCCTGGGGATCGACCCTCCAGGCGCCTCCGGGGCCTCTGGCCGCCCCGGGGGCCTCTCGGGGCCCCTGGGGGCCCCTGGGGGCCCCTGGGGGCCCCTGGGGGCCCCGGGGGCCCCTGCGGCGCGCGGATCGCGCAGCTTTCCCCGGGGCCGCGCCGGAACGGAGCCGCCTCCCGCCCCGCGCGCTGCCCCGCTTTCCCCGGGACCGCGGCGCGCGCCGCGCCGCGGTTTCGCAACTTTTCAACTTCGACTTTGCGGCGCGCAACTTTGCCGCCGGCGCCGCGGATTCCGCGCACTTGCAAGCCGAACACGCCCGCGGGGCGCCCACCTGCCAGCTCGCCCCCGGCGCTGGAACTTGAAGTCCAAATCTGCTTTTAAGCCGAAATTTGTTGTATTTTTAGAGTCGAGAACAGCCTTGCGGCTTAGGTTTTCCGCTTTCTCTCGCCGAGAAACGCGAATCTGCCAGGCGCGGGCGCCCGCCTTCGGGTGTATCTGCACCTCGCTCGCTGCTCGCTGGCGCCGCGCCGCGGGAAACGGAACGAAAGCAGATCTTTAGAAACATAAATGCTGAGGTTTCGGTCGAATGTCGAAAGACAAACTTCCTGTTTTGCCAGATCTCGCTGAAATATCCCTCTTCCGAATATGGTCGCCGCTCTCCAGGCGCAAGACACCCACCTTTCGCCCGAAAGGCTTTCCCTTTCCGGACAGTTCCTCTTTTTGCTTTGCCTCGTGTGAGTTCGACTTGAACTTGAAATGGAATTCAAGTTCTGCATCTTCCAAATTCCTTCAGCGGAGTTTGTTTTAGAGAACAAAAACACTTGGCGCCAGACTGCAAGACCGTTCTTCTTTGGATTTCCTCTTTTTGCTTGCTACTGGGCGTTCTCGTTTGCCTTCAAGGAGCTCAGGTGAAGCAGCAAACTCCTCTATTTGAAACAGTTACCACAATTACAACTATTACAACTATTAATATGGATTTTTGTTCATTTCTTTTCATCTTCACCGCAGCTCAGCAGAGAAAGAAAAGAAAGAAACCGCTGGGACGCGGCGTTTCGCGCAGCTAAAGTAACTTCTTGAATTCAAAATTCAAATTCAACTTTTCATCTTTTTGCAGAAACTTTTAATTCCCGCAATGCTGCTGAACAGCTTTATTGGAATTGGTAAGAATTGCTTTTCTTTATTCCTTTCGTTTCTTCATTTCTCCACCCAAATAATTATTTCAAAGCTTTGTTCCATTTGCTCTTTTGCAAGAGAACCAACTCAGTCTTCTGTTTCTTCTATTTCTTTTATTTCTTTTATTTCTTTTATTTCTTTTGATTAATTGTTTTTTTGCTTTATTGTTTTGTTCCTTTAAACAATTAATGAAATGCTTTATTCCTTTTTCCCTTTCTGCAAAAGTTGAATTTCGCCGCTTTTCAGGTGTACATACACACTGCGGGCGCTGCAGCACTTCGAATCCGCTGCTCTGGTGGAGTGGATTTTTAGTTTCTTGTTTTTTCCTTTTATTTTCGACTTCGCGTTTATTCCTTTTCTTCTCCGCCCTCTACTTCCGCAAGTTCCTCCTGCGCAGAGGCCTGCATGGAGTCTGTGTCTCCACGGTAAACTCCTTGCTGCTGCTGCTGCTGCTGCTGCTGCTGCT